CTGAGAAATCCACAGAGCCTCTGTAATGTTGGGCATGTGCATATGTGCGTATCATTCTTTAAAGTCTGGGATGAAGGTGACACCATCGTTGAGTTGAGAGGAGGGAGGCCGGGAGAAGGCCACCAGCGCACAGTGCCCTGGTCTTGTGCTGCCTCCTGGCATACAGACCTGACCCAACTTGCCTGCTTGCTTGCCGAGCCCTACCTTGATGGAGTGAGATGATGGAGTGTGAGCTGCTTCTCCCAGTAAGTCTATCCCGCCGAAGAAGCACCATAATTGTACTTGCTCACCTCCACTTTGTGAGACTCAGGAAAAGACCTCACCAAAGTCTTTTCCCATCTCTAGCCAACTCACAGCTCCTCTGGGTTGGTGGGAGATAAAATGCTGACCTTGAATCACTGAGATGTAAGGACAAGCCCCTGGGCTTGAGTCCCGGCTCCCTGTCTTGCCAGCTCTGCAGACGTGGGCCCATCTCTGTGCATGGATGTGGGGAGAAGAGCGGCAGCCACCTTGTGGGTGGCTGTGACGGTTAGGACGGTTCTCAGGGCTCTGCACACATTAACTCATCTGTCCAGGCGCTCTTTCCTGCGGCGACTGTCCAGTGAGCACCTACAACATGCTAGACCCTGAGGTAGGTGCTGGGGCACCCACTGTGAACATAACAAGTCAAAACAAACTCCTCATGGAGTTTGCCTTCTATGTGCAGGAAGCCAGTCAGTATACCACCAAGGTGTGTAACATGCCGGTGCCAAGAAGAAAACCAAAGCCGGGTGTTAGAGTAGGGAGTGACAGATTTGACCTGCAGACACGTGCTGGAGTGAGCTGCAGATGGGGTCAGAGTATGGTCGAGGGGATGCGACAGCAAGGGCAGAGGGCCACTTATCCTTATGCATACAACACAGAATTCTGTTCTTATCCTTGCTCTACAGTTGAGGAAATGGGGGCACAGAGAGACTGGTGATTTGCCCAGAGTCCCACAGCCAGTGAGCAAGAGTACCACCAGAATTTGAACCCAGGAAGTCTGGTTTCATGGCCAATGATAGAAATCATGGTCCTCAATTGGGGTCATGTTGCCCCTCCAGGGGGCATTTGGCACTGTGTGGAGACTGTTTTGGTTAGAGGCGGGGAACTGCTACTTGCATCCAGTGGGTAGAGGCCAGGATGCTGCTGGGCTTCCTCCAGTTCCCTGGGGTCAGATGTCAGTGGTGCCGAGGTTGAGAAACCCTGATCTCAATCCGTGGAAAGCACTAGGTATGGAGTGTCGCACAGAGTAACCGACCAGTTGCTGTTGAGTCGATTCTGACTCGGGGCAACCCCAGATGTGTCAGTGTAGAAGTGTGCTCCATAGGGTTGACGGTGCTGCGGGAGAAAGCACTGGAATGCAAGGTTGGTTTAAATCATAAAGCTGGAGGTTCAAACTCACCAGTCACTCCATGGAAACCCTAGATAGGGTCGTTACAAGTTGGAACCGAATTGATGACGCTTAACAACAACAACAACAACAATAACCTTCCAGAAGTAGGTCACCAGGCCTTCTGTGGTGTTTCTGGGTGGATTTGAACCACCAGTCTTTTAGTTATAGGCAAACTCCACCCAGGGAGTTCTGACACATACTGTTGTTGATGTTAAGTGTCATCGAGTCGGTACCAATTCATACCAACCCTGTGTAGGGTTTTCTTAGAGCGGCTGGTAAGCTTGAACCACCGACCTTGCAGTTCAAACGGCTGGTGCTCAATAAATGATAGCTGCAGAGGAGGAAGATAAATGGGCTGGAGAAGGCTGCAGAAGAGAAGGGGAAGACAATATAAGTAAATGAATTCATCATTTCACACAACACTGGTATAATGTCATCGGGTGGATGGGTTTGGTGGGCGGGGCAGAGGCTCTGGGCAGAGCTGCCCATAGAGGGCAGGTGCAGGTACACTGGGTAGTGTGGGAAGGTTGAAGGGTCAGGAGTGGGGCTGGGACTGGTCAGCCACTAGCCCCTGAAATGCTAACCAGACCACTCACCTCTCTCTCCCCTTCCACCCCATGTCTCTCTCCCCATCTCTCCTGGCCTCTTTGCCCAAAAGGGGACAACCGGAGGCTGAAAGGGGCCATTCAAAGAAGCACAGAGACAGGCCTGGCGGTGGAGATGCCCAGCCGGACGCTGCGCCAGGCCAGCCACGAGTCCATAGAAGACAGCATGACCAGCTACGGCTCGGAAAACAAGTGAGCGTGGGACCCACACCTGCCTGCCAGCTCTCCTGGCTCTCCTGGTCTTCTTTGGTGTAGGGTGGAAGGGACCCCTTGGGTCAGCCTCAAACTGGTCAGGACTTTGGCTCTGGGTTCCTGCCTCTCCACACCCCACCCCACCCCACCATCCTTAGCTGGGAGGTAATGAAGCAGCAAAGCTCTGTAGGAGAGCAAGCGGAGCCCAGACTGCCTGCCTGGATTTGAATCCTTACAGCTGTGTGACCTTGAGTACGGCATGTCTCTAGGCCTCAGTTACCCCATCTGTAAAGTGTGCTCAATCGAGCCTACCTCATAGGAGAATAAATTGGGTTAGAATTTACAAAGTGCTTGACATATAAGAAATGCTAATAAATAAAGGAAGCAGGGGACTTTACCAGGGACAAAGCAAAGGAGAGGACTCTTATTGTCATAATTGCTGTTTCTTATTTCCTTTTATTTTTTAAAATCCCTACTGAATGTCTTATACACAAACACTCACACACATGTGCTTGATAAAGTAGCTTCATCTACATCAAACCTCACTGCTGACGGGCTCCTGGAGCTCTTCTCTCCTCTGGCTGCAGGACTTTGAACTGGTTCATTTGGGTTCATTCCCTGCTGAGCACCAGCCTTTCCACCTGGAGAGACCGCATCAGACTCTGCACGTTACCAAGAGCACCTACAAAACTATACAAATCACTTGGGAAATAGATTCTGAGTCCGAATCTTTGGGAAGCAGAGCCCAGGAATTCATCTAGACTAGGGTTCCTCATCTCATTGGAGAAATTATGAACCCTGTTGAGACTTTCAGGAATGACTTGGACTCTCCCCCACAGAAACACACACATGCTCACACCCTAACACACACATTTCCACACATAATTGTGCAAACACATTTTTCTCATTTAACTTATGTTGTTGTTGTTAAGTGCCGTCGATTCAGTTCTGACCCACAGCGACCCTGTATAGGGTTTCCGAGGAGCAGCTGGTGAGCTTGAACCGCCAAGCTTGCAGTTCAAACGGCTTTGCAGTCTGGTGCATTAGCCCACAGTGCCACACCAGGACGCCCATATAACTTACGTTGTTGTTGTCAAGTGCCGTCGAGTCAATTCCAACCCATAGCGACCCTGTATAGGGTTTCCAAGGAGCAGCTGGTGAGCTAGGGGGTCCCAAATTTCCCTAAACCCATCCATGGTACCTTGGCAAAAAATCTTGATTCAGAACAACTTCATTATTTGTACAGATAGCCAGGGCAGTTAGAGAGGTTAAGGAACTTGTCCTGGATCACACAGCGGTTAGCTCTAGAACCCAGGGTCCTGACTCCCAGCTAGGGCTTGTTGCAGGGTAGCACATTACTTCCCGATCTTAGCCCTCTCTGAGGCAGAGTAAGTGGGTGTGTGAGTGTGAGGGGTTGAGGCTGTTCAGTACAGCAGCCACATGTGGCTATTTAAATGCTAATTAAATTAAATAGAATAAAAAATTCAGTCCGTTGGTCACACTGTTGTTGTTAGTACCGACTCATAGCGACCCTCTGCACAACAGAACGAAACACTGCCCAGGCCTGCGCCAACCTCACAATCGTTGCTACGCCTGAGTCCACTGCTGCTGCCACTGTGCCAAGCCGTCTCATTGGGGGGTCTTTCTCTTTTTCTCTGACCCTCCATTTGGCCATGCTAGCCACATTCAAGTGCTTCCTGTACATCTAGTTAGTAGCTGTTGATCGGATAGCACAGAACATAGAACATTTCTGTTATTGCAAAAAGTTCTATTTTGGTTCCTAGACAGTGCCAACTGTCAGTTGATTCAGCTGCTTACCAAAAGGTTGGAGGTACAAGTCCACCCAGAGGCACCTCAGAAGAAAGGTCTGGTGATTGACTTCCCAAAGGTCAGCGACTGAAAACCCGATGGCGCGCAGTCTACTCTGACACACACAGGGCTGCCATGAGTCAGGATTGACTCCATGGCAGCTGGGTTATTGGGGGTCAGCATAGAGTTAGTGAGGTGGTCAGTCTAAGAGCAGGTGAGGCTTCTGCTGACAGAAAGCCTCTCCGCCCCCGCCCCTCCTAAACTGGGTGCCTCTGTGAATGGCTCCCCTCCTAAACTGGGTCGACCTCTGTGAATAGCTCCCCTCCTAAACCGGGTGCCTCTGTGAATGGCTTTGCCTTGCCAGATGCTGCTGTTTGGCGGCCTCCTAGGGAGACTTTCAGCTGGGCAAAAAGAGGAGGCGGACAGGCAGAAGGGAGAGGAGGAGCAAGGGAACGAGTGTTTTCTGTAACCTGAGACACCTGCAAAAGAAAGCAAAAAGAGAGGACCATGTTCCAGAACAGCTGCCAGTGTCAGGGGTCAGGACTAGAGGGTCCTAGTCCTGGCTCTGCTGCTGACCTTCTGGGTGGCCTGAGGAATACTGCTTGTTCTCTCTAAGCTTCAGGGAGGCCAGTAAACAGCTCATGGGCAGGTTGAGAGGAGCTGGCTATGGGGAGTTTAACGTGGTCCCATGACAGTACCAGGGGAGTCAAACCATATGCATATTCATATTATAGAAGAGGAGAGGAGGCTCAGAGAGGTCCCTAAACTTGTCCCTGCCAGGGGAGCATCATAGGCAGAGGGTGTGAGGAAGAAAAGAGATATGCTGCCACACCAGGGGGAGCTTGTCATCTGTTGCTGTCGTGTGCTTTAAGAACCTGGTGCCGTTGAGTCAGTTCCGACTCATAGTAACCCTGCATAGTGTTCCCCAGGCAGTAAATCTTTACTGGAGCAGAATACCTCCTCTTTCTCCTGAAGAGCGACTGGTAGATCTGAACTGCTTACCAACTTGGAATCACTATGATACCAGGTCTCCTTGCTTTAAGGAACCTGGAGGGTCTTTAATTACATGACCAGGAAAGTTCAAAGCCAGGAGTAGGAGTCAGGCAGCTCTAGTTTGTACCTCATTTCTGTTTCTTAGTAGCTGTGTGACTGTGGGGAAGTTACTTCACCTCTCTGAGTCTAGTTTCTTCATCTCTAGAAAGGGGACGATAATAGCACAGAACATGAATATGGTCATCCAAGGATCAAGTGATTTAATGGAGGTAAAAGCTCTTAGAATAATGTCTGCACACAGCAACCAGTCTAATTATTAGTGATTGTTATTGTTTGGTGTTGGTTGGGCATTTTACTGCCTGTGGTCAGGTTGGATCCTAATGGATCCAATGAGTCACCCCCATAGAATGGTGTCTGTAAAGTGCTTAGCCCCGAGTAAACTGTGAATACATGTTGTCTGTGAGGAGGAGTTTGATTATTAGAAGGTTTGGGGTGGGAGTGTTGGGCGTAATGTGGTCAGGTGGGTGAAGGGTGTCTGATCGGCAGAGGGGAGAGTCAGATGCCACTGCTCCTGGGCGTGGGAGGGACAGGTGCAGGACCTGGAGCTGTGGCCAGCCTCCTTTTCCTGTTCTGGAGGTATTTTGGGCAATGGTTGGACTCAGCTGCCAGGCAGTGAAACAAGAAGGGGTGTGACCCTCCTTCCTCTTTCCGCTCCTCCTGGGCTCCTGCCAGGCCAGCTGAGGCTCTAGGGAACCGGCCTCGCTCAAGCAGGGCCCTGACTGCAAAGCTGCCTGGGACTGAGCGTCCTGCCGCTGCATTCTCATTTACGTCAATGTTGGCTGTGTACCTACAATGTGCTGGCCCATTGGACTGGGCACCCAGAGGCCTGCCTGTCTCAAGCTTCTACTCTTGGGCATTGCAGGGACCAAGCCATTAGCATTCACCCCTCCCTCTCCAGTCTCCTCCACCACACAGATCCAGAGCCCTTCATCCTCCCTGAAAACCCACAAGCTCACAAAGTTGACTGTCAATGGCCCTCCTGGTCCTCCTGGCCCTCATTGTCCCCAGGTCTCTGGGTCACTGTGGAAGCAGAGTGTGTCCCCAGGCTCAGGGTTGGACTCCTGCCAAAGCTGTGGGTCCCAATCCCAGTGCCTCAGGAGGCCTGGCGGATGGTCTATACTCCCTCTGTCGTTTAGCAGTCTTGTGCCGGAGAACAGAACAAGGCAGGATATGGCCATGGGCCGTGGGCCAGGAGACAGGAGGATTTGCTGCTTTGTTTTTATAAGCACTAGTGTTTGCTGAACATTTGTGCCAGACTAGATTCTGAGGAGTTTATCTAATTTAAAACAACAGCACTGAGGGTTATCCTAATGGTATTAATTTCCATGTTTCCAAAAGGTGCCGAATGTTTCCCTCCAACTAGTGAGGGGGTGAGTGTCAGAGTCAGGATTCAAATCTAGGTCTCCCTGACCTGAAAGCTGGGCAGCAAATCCCTGTGCTCTGCACTGGGCAAGGCTGAGATCCCTGCAGGACACTTAGAAACATACAGAAACATAGTGGTTAAGAATATAAACTCTGGAATCAGACTGGGGTTCAAATCCTGGGTCTGCCACCTACCAGCAGTGTGGTCTTGGTTGGGTTACTTAACATTTCTCTGCCTCTGTTCCACTTCTGTAAAACGGGTTTAATATAAATACCCATGAATCCCTGGGTGGTGGTTGAGTTAAGCACTCAACTACTAGCCAACAAATTGACAGTTCAGAGCCATTCAAAGGCATTCTGGGATACTGGCCTATCATTCTGCTTCTGAAAGAACACAGCCTTGAAAACCACATGGAGCACTTCTACTCTGCATACATAGGGTCACTAGGAATCGGAATGAACTCAATAGGAGCTCACAACGAGTACCTAACTTTATTATGGAACTGTGCAGAAGAGTAAAGGAATTAATATTGATTAAATGCTTAGCATTATCAGTGCTTAGCTCATGACAAAACCTCGCCCCAAATCCCACTGCCGCTGAGTCAATTCCAACACATAGCAAGCCGCTGGGACACAGTAGAACTGCCCTGAAGGGTTTCCAAGGCTGACATCTCGATGGAAGCAGATTGCTGCATCTTTCTCTCTCAGAGTGGCTGGCGAGCGCAAACTGCCGACGTGTCAGTTCATAGCCAAGCACTTTAACCACCATGCTTCCATAGCTCCAGCTCTGGTTTCATAAAAACATAAAGTGTTTCATAAATAAATGAAGTTCCTGGCTTCGTGCCGATAAGCCATCCTCTCGGGGAGCAGGCAGACTTGGGAATGTCTTGATTGCTTGAGAAGCAGGAGCAAGGATGGAGACATGCAGGGCACCCCCCACATAGAACACTTATTTTGAAAACATGCATTTACTCCAGCAAGACTGAAAGATCAGGGAACAGTTTGAGCAAGACATGAATTTTGTATTTGCTCCTGTGCGACTTCATCCACGAGAAACACCAGGTGAACATAGGAAACTGTACTCACATAGGAATAGTAGGGGTCTTCAAGAAGTTCTTGGGGGAAAAAATGTAATAAAAAGAGAATCGAGTTTTTCCATAAACTTTTTGAAGACCCCTTGTGTATAAAACACATGTCTCTCAAGCATCTACCTGCTCCCTCAGTTCACCTGTGTGATCAGCCACAGCCTTGCATTACAACTTTCTGTTTCCACCACCCACTGCTCTGCAGCTCACAGGTGCTTCTCACACCCACTCCCACAAGGGGTCGTTTTCAAGGTAAAGTGCCTCGTTTAATGTGTATTCATTTCTTAGCCATTTAAATGTGTGCTAATGTGCTACTTTCCCCCCTAGCCTTCTATTCTTTTTTCCTTTCTTTTAATGTTTCAATGACAGAGTTTTGGGGTCTTGTGGCCCGAACCTCATCTTCCCCAGAAGCTCTGTGATTGCTGTTGTGAGCTTTTGTATAGCACGATTATCTTTAGGAACAGCACGTCTTCCGCGATAGCAGAACTGGCTGAATTATAGGCCCAGCAAGTCTGTGGGGGCAGAGTGTGTGTGTGTGAGTGGATGGACAGAGAGAGGGCCCATAAGTCATTGAAGCCTCTCAGAGCCACATAATCCATGTCACCAAGAGGACAGTGCAACCTTTTAATTTCCGGCTGCAATTGAGACAGGTGATCCATCTGAAAAGCAGAATGGAGTCAAACCCCCAAGTAACTCAATTACTTCTTTAACCGTCAAGAACACAGAAAATCCAGGGGCAAACCAAGCTCAAAGGTTAATAAAAGATAAATGGGTTTCAGTTCCACAAACAAAACTAACAGGATTTGCAATGCAGGAAATCTCATTTCAGCATTAACACAAAATAAAAGGCCAGCAGAACATGGGCTGTAATCCTGTTTCAGAGCTGTGCCTTCACCAAGGAAGAACAGTGGCCTGGCCTCAGGCTCAGGCATCCACATGCTATGGATCCTAATAAGTCTGGAATCAGAAATGTCAGGATGAACACCAAGAGGCAGAAAAGGAGGCTCTCAGCCCAGGCTGTGGGGCCTAGCAGATTGTAGTATTTTATCCACCCACACTCATCTATCCACTCATCTATGTATCCATCCATTCATTTACTCATCCATCTGTCTACCCACCCACCCACCTACTCATTCATCCACCCATGCATCCATTTATTCATCCATCCACCCATCCACTCACCCACCCATCCATCCATCCATTTATTCATCTATCCACCCACTCACCCACTCATCCACCCATCATCCATCCACCCATTCATCCAGCCACCATTCATTAATCCATCCACCCACTCATTCATCCATCCATCTACCCACCCACCCACTCACTCAATCCATCCGTCTATTTACTCATCCGTCCGTCTGTCCATCTATCCATCCACCCACCCACTCATTCACCCACCCATCCATCCACCCACTCATCCATCCACTCATCCATCCATCCATCCATCCATCCATCCATCCATCCATCTATCCATCCATCCACTCAGCAGATACTTTTGTGCCATTCCCTGTGTTAAACACCTTGCCTGTGTTACTTCACTGATTCTTCCACCAACAATGTGACAGTCATTACTGTATCCTCATGTTATACACAAGGAAGCTGCAGTTCAGAGAAGTTACAAAACTTGCCCATGTTACACTGCACTGGAATCCAGGATCTCTATTATGCCAAAGTCCAGACTATATCACTAGATTTTATTGACACCTTTTCCTAGTCTGGGACCAGTAAACGTTTACTGTAATGAGTGCCTACTGCATACGAGGCATACTCTGCTGAACACTGGATCTAAGCAACAACATGTATGTGGCATTTATTAACTCTGCAAGCTCTTTCTTACCCTTTCCTAAGGGATCCTGTGAGCAGAGGAGTTTTTGAAATATTTAACACAAGCTCAGCTCAGGTACCAGCCAGTTAAGTGGCTGGATCCTGTCTGTGAGGTCTGTGTGAGCACATCTGCAGGACAGAAAGTGGATGATGAAAGGAGATACAGATGGGTAATTCGTGATACTGTAGTGAATAATGCTTATCAGGATGGACTATGAGGGTTGGAAATGCAAAGGCAGAAGTTTTGTAACAAGGAAGGGAGTGATTAAATCTCCAGGATAGGAGCGGAGACCTCTGGGACCATCAACGGAGAAGAGCTGAGAGTGGGACCCTACCCAGAGAAACAGAGATGCATGAGATGGAGACAGAGATGATGACATGGAGTGATGAAGCGACTGGGGACTTTGGACCCAGAGAGGGAAGGGGACTGTGGGTCGAAAACGGGGGGAGGAGGGAGAAGTGTAGGGGGCGGCTTTCTGGTATATACCCTTTGCTTGGTTGATGATGCATGGAGGGGATTGGAACCATGGCAATGAGATGATACATGATGGATTGAATGTAAAACTAAAGTTCCCCCATGTAAACTATCATGTAATTCACAATAAAACATTGAAAAAAAAAAGAAAGAAAGTGGATTGAGTGCAGGGGCAGTGGGATGGACAGGGCAGAGCAGACCAGGTCTGACTTTGTGTCATTTGTCTGCTTTCCTCCAGGGACAATTCCACGTGGAGTGGGGTCTCCAGCCTCCACCTTAGTCATCCTGCCCCACAGCATCAGCCAAGGGGATGTGATAACTGGTTCAGGGTTTCTGGGGCATCAGCCTGGTTCCCTGGCAGGCTGTGAGGCACCCTGGGATGGGAAATCCGGCAGTCGCCCAGATATAATACACAATTACCGCTAATTACCAGGCCTGCTTGTTCCCCATTGTCTGCTGCAATCCCACCAGGAACCAAGGAAGAGACAATGATGTTGTTGGAGGAAACTTTCAATTTCAGGCTGTGGAAGTCCTCCTTGATCAGACCTGGGAGCTGAGCCCCTTTGAGGCCTTGGAACTCATGAGGCATCACCGTTTTTCAAGCTTTTGCAGCCCAGACCCCCCAGCTACTAGATAGGGCCTAGAGGAAAGACCTCATGGCCAGCAGTGAGGGAGGCTCAGCCTTCACCTAATGCTGTTGATTAAACATCTCTGGCTTTGCAAGATGAGTGGGCATGCATTTCAATCCCAGATTTGTAGCTTTTCTTGTACCTGTTAGGTTTTAAGAAGACCTCAGGGTATATTTTTGGTTTAAAGTTGAAAGATTATCTCAAGGCAGTAATTTCTGGGGTTCATCCAGCCTTCATGATTCCAAGAAGTCTGAATGTAACACTGACCAGTCCTCACAACTGTTGCTGTATTTGAGACCACTGTTGTAGCCACTGTATCCATCCATCTCCTTGAGAATCTTTTCTTCGTCTTTTTCATAGACCCTCAGCTTTACCAAGCTGATCCCTTCTGGTGATATGTCAAAAATATGTAAGATGAAGTCTCAGCATCTTCCCTTCTAAGAAGCATTCTGGCTGTACTTCTAACCCTTAGCAACCATTATACTTGTTTTAAGGAGGTGGAGCCTAAAGCTTAGGGAGGACAGGTAGGGGAATGGTACAAAATATGAAAGCTAAGTCCTGGAGCCTGTAAGTAGTAGCTGAGATTTCAGGGTGGTTACAACCAGGGAGAGTTAGGATGTCAGTTTGCTGGGATTTCAGCTGTGGGCCGAAATCTCATGGAATATGGAATATTCTGGAGCCAACTGCCTGATTCTTCAGAGTTCTCTTTCTGCCCCCCCAGGAATGTTTGATTTATTTCCTCCTCTCTTCTTGCAGCCTTAACTATGGGGGAGTCTGCCTGGCATCGGACGCCCAGTTCAGTGACTTCCTGGGCAGCATGGGGCCAGCGCAATTCGTGGGCCGCCAGACTCTGGCCACCACACCAATGGGTGAGTGTTCCAAGGCCTTTTTGTAGCCAGAGGACCTGGTCCGCACCTGCCAAACTCTCGGAAGGGCCCGGACATTTGATCCATGAACTGGTTCTGGTTTCAGTTTAGGGCTGGGGGCAGGAGAAGAGAGTTTCTTCTCTAAACAGAGGAGAAGCTGAGTCCTTCTTGATCTTCTAGGTAATTTCCCAAACTCATCTCTTGCAGGGGATGTGGAGATTGGCTTGCAGGAGCGGAATGGTCAGCTCGAAGTGGACATCATCCAGGCTCGCGGCCTGACTGCCAAGCCAGGTTCAAAGACACTGCCAGGTATGGGAGCTACCTGCCCCTCTCAAGGAGTGGGCAGAGGTCTAGACAAGAGATCCTGAGGGGTGCCTGGGCTCTGGAAAGGGGAAAATGGACCCAATTCTATAGCACACCTTTCTCCCAACCCTAGCGACTTCGGTGGTAGATTAAGGCTCATTCTGGGACTCTGTTGAGATTGTTCACTTTGTTGGTCTTCCCCACTGGACTGCATTGGAGAGCAGGAGCCATCTTTGCTGTTTGTCCTTATATCACAGTGCCTAGTAGGATTCTTGGAGGCCTGGTGTGGTGCTGTGGGATAATACGTCAGACTGCAAAGCATTTGAACTGCAACATCAGTGGTTCAAGCTCACCAGCTGCTCCTTGGAAACCCTGTACAGGGTTGCTATGGGTCAGAACTGACTCGACGGCACTTCACAACAATAACAACAGTAGGGTTGTTGGCACTCCTAGTAGGATTCTTGGTACACAGTAGGATCTCAGCAAGCATTAGTTGAGTAAGCCAGCAGATGAAAGTGTAGTCAGGGAAGGGGTCAGAGACAAGGGCTAACAGGTGAGTATAGGAGTGAGCAAGGGAGTTGGGGGAGAGTGGGGACCACAAGAAGAGGTAGAGTAGGTCCCTCCCACCCACTTGCCCCTGTTGCCTCCTCAGATGGCTTCATGAAGGCTCTCTAGTCCCCAGCAGTAGGTGGGTAGCCTTCCTCTACTGTATCCTTTGTCTTCCCTGTGAGGGGTCAGAGCCAGCACTGACCCCCACTGACCTCTGTCCCCAGCGGCTTACATCAAAGCCTACCTGCTAGAGAATGGCGTCTGCATTGCCAAGAAGAAGACCAAAGTTGCTCGCAAGTCACTGGACCCACTGTATAACCAGGTGCTGCTGTTTCCTGAGAGCCCCCAGGGCAAAGTCCTGCAGGTGAGCGCGTGGGGCTGTAGTACCAGATGGAGGGGAGGAGGTCTCCGGCCCCCCCCCCGGCACACGTAGAGCTCTGTCAATGATCTAAGTGCCACAGCTTTGAACAGGGTCCTCTCTGAGCCTCAGTTTCTTCATCTGTAAAATGAAGAAGACAGTAGTTTCTACTCACTGATGTTGCTTTGACTGCGAAATGTGTTCTTTGAGCAACAGAAGCATTTGCAAAGTTGGCCAGTATCAAGTGACTGCTGTAACTATTATTATTAATCTCTGGAGAGCATTCTGAGGGGCTGTTGAGGCTGCTTGGCTCCTGGCCATTAGGGGATCCTATTAATAAGCACTCCAGTGAATGCCAGAGCAGGACAGAGCTCACCACTCGGGAAATCAGTAATGCCAGTAAAAAGGAGCCCACCCAAAGTGGGCCTTCTGATGAGCTGCCTCAGGAACACTGAAGGCTGGTTAGCTGAGTGATCTTGGGCAAATGATTTAACTTCTTGAAGTCTCAGTTTACACATCTGTGAGATGGGTTGAATCTGAGGCTGGGTTTGCTTTAGCACAATCCCTGGTGTACAGTAAATAATGATGTTGGCACACATTGTTTTAACTGTACCCTGGACACCAGAGGAGCAGCTTGTAGCTCCCAGTGAGTTTGGACATCCACACTCTTCTTTGACCCTCCCCTGTGGGATATATTGACTGGGGATCATCCCAGTTTCACCAACAAGGACGCAGAGGTCCAGTGAGGTTAAGTGACTTGCCCAAGACCACACAACCAGTCAGTGGCAGACCTGGGATATGAGTCTGTGTATGTCTGACTCCTTCCTGGCCCCACTTAGTGAATGACCCAGCCCTACCTCATAGAGAGGGATGGAGTAAGAAGTTGGGGTGCAGGACAGCAAGTGAGGGTCCCATGGCTACAGAGCCTGCCAGCTGCCAGCTCAAAGACAGACTGTGGCTGAGAAATGGGAAGATGCTTCAGGAAAGGGTCTGGTTGGAAGAAAGAAGGAAGCTAGCATGTTATACTATACCTGTCACTTTTTGAACTTTGTGTCATGTTGGGGGAATTCTGAGGGTCTGGAAACAGAAACTTCATCAGGGGACTGCTGATGCCAGCCCTCAAGGCCTGGGTTCAAAACTGGGCAGTGTAGAGGATGGCATGGAGAAGCAAAATTGGAACAGGAATTCAGTCCTCCCGGTCAACTGGACACAAGATTTGAGCAATTTTTTTTTTTTTTTTAATATGCGTTTCCTCCCTGTTTTAATAATTTATTTTATTTGTTGTTGAGACTATATAAAGCAGAACATATACCAAATCACCAATCTCTACATGTACATTGGTTGTATTCTTCTAGTTTTGAAAACATTCTCACCCTCTTTTCTGAGTTTTCCCATGCCCCCTAAGTTGTCTACAGTGCTCAGAGCAGACTAATTAAGGTAAACTGTTGATTTAAAGACTGTAGGGGATAGTTTTGGTTTAAGGGTTAGAGATTATCTCTGGCTTCATCCAGCCTCATGGCTCCAGAAAATCTGGATTCTATGAGAATTTGAAATTCTGTTCTGCATTTTCCTCCTTTAGATCAGGGTTGTTCTATAGGATTGTTGATTCAAACATTCCGTAGTGCTAGCCAGGTCCAGCCCTGAGCAAGTTTGAGGAGGTAGAATCCAGAGGACTTGGAGGTGAATGGGGTACAAGGTGTTCTAGTTTGGGGCCTATAATGGCATTGGAAGATTTGAACCACTGTGTCTCTTGCCTTACAGGTGATCGTGTGGGGGAACTACGGGCGGATGGAACGGAAGCAGTTCATGGGGGTGGCCCGTGTGCTGCTGGAGGAGCTGGACTTGACCACCTTGGCTGTGGGCTGGTACAAGCTCTTCCCCACCTCCTCCATGGTGGACCCAGCCACGGGCCCCCTACTCCGGCAGGCATCCCAGTTGTCCCTTGAGAGCACCGTGGGGCCCTGTGGTGAACGATCTTAGTGCCAGAGATGGAGAGGGGCTCCCCAAGATGTCCTGGAGACCTCCCAGCCCTGGCCTGAAACCCCAGGCCCTGGGGCACACTGAACAGAGGATCATGGGGCTCACCCCCACAAGGGGGAAGCAGAAAGGGGAGACCTGCCCCCTCAGGCCCCTCCTCACCCCATCTTTGCCTCCCACTCCCCAAGACCTTCCCTTTCCCAATGGGATTGGCTGCACTTTTGACTTGGCCGGTTCTTGACCTGGTGGGCGTGGCTGAAGTCCAGAGACAGGAAAGACTGAGGTAGCAGAGCAAACACCTTTCTGTCCAAACTCCCCACCCCATCCCCTCTTCCCTCCTTCGCAGCTCGCTGCCCAGAGCCAAGTCCAGAACCCAGCCGGCCAGCCCCATGGTGCCAATTACCAGCAAGTGTCTTTCCTGCGGTACCGGGTTCAGGTAGCTACTCCTGCCCCAAAGTCGATGGGGCAGCTTTGCAAGGATCCGGAGCCAGCTCCCGGGGGTCCAGGTCCCCATCTTGAAGAGGAGTTCAGGCCTCCCTCCGCCTGCCTGTGGAAGGAGCTTTGCCGCAGACTGTCTGAGTCCATCTGTCTGTCCCATCCCGCCTGCCCCTCTTCCATTGGCTCTAGGAATTGAAGTCTAGCAGAGATCGAAGGGAAGGAGGAGGTGTCTGGAGCCTGAAAGGTTTCCTGACTGCAGACCCCCAGGGCGCCTTGCTCCATGGGGCTGCCACAAGCCAGTTTGGGAACTTCTTGGTCATCTCTGTTTTGCTGAAGAGCTGCGAGACCTGGATTCTCCAGAACATGAGCCCTCAGAGCTTGCCATCTCTGCTTTTGGGGGATGCTGGGTCAGAGGGGAGGCTGAGGAAAGCTGGGGTTGGAACTAGGAGCTAGGAGTGCAGAGATAAGGGTTTCCTACATAGGAGAATCCTTCTTTGTTGGGTGAGTTCAAAGGTCATTTCTGGGCTGGGGGACCTGAGGTGGGGACAGAGTTCCTCTATTTTAGTCTTTCTAAACAAACCTTGAAGACTCAGTGCCCTAGCCTCAGTGCCCTTGGTGCAAGGAAAGATAGTTTTAGACGAGAAAGACTTCAGCGAGGTATGAGTGCAGGAATTGTGGCAATGGCTCTCAAGCAGGGTAGCTGCCTTCCTGGCCTGGCCCTCCCTAGGGCCTGGGAGAGCCCTTTTACATGTTGGGGAGGGTGCAGGCTGGCCCCTCTTTATAGAAGCACATTCCTGCCAACTCCCCTGGGAAGCTCACCACCCTTCTTCACCCGTCCCTGCTACGTAGGGTGTAGTCCAGGTTAGCTGGGTAGAGTTAGTATTCTAGCCCTGGGGCTTGCCTTTAGCTCTTACATAGTCCTCACAGAGTCCCAGGATGGGGGCCGAGAGGAGACACAAATACATTCCTGGAGATTGCAGCCTCCTCTGTGGCTGGGGGAGGGGGGATGGGGGGGCAGTGGCAATCTGGTTCATGGAGGCCAGCCCCTCTTCCTCTCCCACCCCCCTTCCCTGTAAGGTCGTAGCTGAGGCTGCCCATTATATTCCAACATTGGGATTGATTGTCCTTGGTACTGGTTTTCTTTATGCCTCACTTCTGGGGCTGCCCGGGCCTTGGCGGAGGAGCCTGGAGTTCACTGAAGGCATAGTGTTCCCCGAGGATGCCTGGGCTGTGTGTAGTCCCATCCTGTAGTTGATCCCAGGCTGGGCTGTTGGCCCAGCTGTTCCTTCCTGGACAGTCTCCGCTCCCTTCTGCCTGGATGTCCATTAAAGTTCCAGTTGAGCTTTGTCACCCCCATGGAGCTTTTCACACGGCGCTGGAAGGGGAGATGGGGTGCCCCCTTTCTCTAGGGGGTCTTCAGAGCTTCCTGAGGTGGTAGTGGGTCGAATCCCAAGGCTGAGCTCTGCATCTGGAGTGCAGCTGTCTGTACTCTCCCGGAGTAGGGCCGGGTGACCAATGATGGACAAGGCTGAGGAAGCGCTGTGAGATGCCTAGAGGGAGCAGGGCTCTGGGTACTCACACCCAAGGCCCAGAGCACCCCTTTCCAATTTTATTCACCATTGTGATTTCTCTGCTGTTTCTTGAGTACTCATTTAGAATATTTTGAGCCAAGAGAGCACCTTCTCTCTCCAGCCATTGCTGCTCCGGTTGTCCAGGGGCTGCCTTTCCATGATGGGCAGAACCTGCTGTCCCAATCAGAGGGAGAGTGCTTAGCATTGGCCTGGACCCCCCTCCAGCCCGAGCCCCCTCTGGTTTCTGCACCCTCTTTACAGAGAGGGAAAGAGAGAGCTCCAAAGCAATAATAACACCCTGGGGGTGGTCACCAGGGCCCCCCCCAATGGTTTTCTTGTTTGTTCTGTGAAATCTCCATTCACCTCCTGGAGGGGTGGGGTGGGGTGGGGGCTGGAGCACTGTGTCTTTGTATCATCGTTGTAAGCACGTGCCCCCTTGGAAGGGGCTCTGACCATCGTCTGTCCTCACCAAGGGATGGGGGCCTGGGGCCGAGACGTGATTCATATTAGCTTTGGGAACTTTTCAAACTCAGTCTGTCCCTGCTGGTGACTGACCTTTCTCTAGCAGCTCAAACACCATCATGAGGGAGGAGCAGGGTATGAGAGCCTTGGGTGGGCATCTTTAGGGGGTGGCGATGCTTTTTCAATTTCTGGGCCAAAAATCACATGGGAAGGAGCCATCTCTCTATTCTGTCTTCAGAATTATCTTCATCCTAAAAGGGAAGGGCCTTTGGGACAGCTTAGTGTAGTCTGCCTTCATTTTGCAAACAGGAGACCACTGTCCATTGCAAGGGTGTTCGCGGGGTCAGTGTCACCCTCAACTGGGTCTTCTTCCAGCAGCTGGAGTGAAGTGGGTCCTTCACTTTCCTCAGCGTTCTTCACTTCTCTTTGGTGCCCCATAGTGGTCACAGATGGGCAGGACACATCTGAGAGCTTAAACCCAGAAGCAGGAAGTGACTTGTCAGAGGCCCCAGAGCTAGTAAGTGGTAAGGGCAGACGAATCTCAATCTCAAACCCCCCTGTTCCGCCCCCTTAATTGGAGACCATTCCTCCAGGGAATGTAAGCGCTGAAGGTGCAGGTCAGCCACTCACTTTACAGCTTGGGTTTTGGGGAGAGGGTTGCCCTAGAGACTTAGCTCACCTGGGGTCTGGCCTTGCTGTCTGAGGGGGTCACAGAATCTGGTCTCCGCTTTGTTGTGTGATTGGGGGCTCCTGCAGGTGGGCCATAACCTCCAGACTGTGAGAGAGTAGGGGGGCTGTGGAACCCCTCATCTGAAGGAAATCCATGCAAAAATCCTAGAAGTAGGTAAGCCTGACCTTCCTGTAATGCTTCTCAAACATTGTGTTTTCAAAGTGCTTGTACCTTGAGGGGATCCTTTGACCTTCCCAAGAGCCCTTGAGTGGTAGGAGGGGACTGGATTACCATCTCCACTTTAAAAAGTGGGAAACTGAGATCTTGGGAGAGGAAGAAGCTTCACCAAGACCCCAGCGTCAGTGGCTGAGCTGACTCTTCTACACTGTCCATCGGCAGAGAATTTGCTGTTAGATGCCACTGAGTTGATTTTGACTTGGAGGGATTCCATGTGATGGAGTAGAACTGCCCGATTTTCTAGGCTAGATTCTTTCTGGGAAGAGATTGCAAGGTCTTTTGTCCATAGAGCCGCTGTGCAAACTGCCCACCTTTTGGTTAGCAGCTAAGTGCTTAACTGTTGCGCCACCAGCGCTCCTATAATCGTTAGGGAGCAGTTATGCACTTGACAAGCTGATTCATCACCTGGTTCCTCCAACCAGGGAGCTCCTGTCACACCCGTGTTCCAGAACACCAGAGGCCCACTCCCTGGGGGGCACAGCTAGTGCATCAGGCAAGGCCACCTGCATTTATTTATTGAGCACCAGCGCTGTGCCAGGCCCAGGGGACCGAGCCCCACCTCCCTGCCCATAGTGACTTCTCTTAGAGGCTGGAGCTGCAGAGTGGCACCTCAGAGTGGATGGGAGGCTTCCATGTCCATGAGCTCATCTGACTCCCACCCTTGAGGTAGGCTGACAGTGCCCATTTTACTTGTAGCTTCCATGAGGGTGAACCCAGGACCTTAGGTGTCACATGTGGAGCCCTTTCACTATGACGACTGCCACCTGGGGAAGGCAGAAAGAGGGTCCCCAGGCTGGGGTCTCTTTCCATCCTTCTGTCTTCCCTCATGGGGAACAGGAGCACCTAGACCTTTGGGTAGGGAGGGTTTCCAGGCCCCTGGGTTGGAATGGGTCACATTGCATTACGTTCATGACCATGTAGCTCATGTTGAAAATTAATAAAAGTTTTTGGCTTTTCTAACCCTGCTTGCTCTGGCTTTGTGTTAACAGTTCTACCAGGGAAGCTAAGAATGGTGCTTAAGGGTGCTAGAATGATGCTACTTGCCCTTTTTGGGGTGGAGTCCATCCCAGGAAACTCTGCCAGAGATGCCTAGCAGGGAGCAGGGCTCTGGATGAACCTGGAGCCCACTCAGTTCAGAGTTGGGGAGACTAGGCCCAGGGATGGGGGTGCAGTTCCCCAAAGCCACATTGCTGGTGAGTGGTTTGGGGAATAGAACCCCTATCTAACAATTGCCAATAGACAACTTATCCCATAGCTTCAGGCTGCATCCAGCTGGCCCACATTCCCTGAGGGTGGGTGTCAGCAAGACCTCCCTCACCCCCAGCTGAGGCTGGCATCAACTTTAAGGGAGGGAAGGCTGCTTCCATATCACATGACAGACCAGGAGCATGGCAGACCATTTCATTAGTGTGGGGACTTGCTCATCTGGATTGTAGACTGTCCCCTCCAATCTCTGTCTCCTGTGTTTCTCAGCATGTGAGCATCTGGCCTCATTGATAGGACTCCAGTGGTGAAAGTTGTACATTTCCCCTACCTCTTCCTACAACAGAAAAACAGCCATCTGTTTCCGCTGGGGTGGACCTGTGTACAGAGCCTCTGCGATTGCTGAGAGGCTTCCCACTCCTTCCCCAAACAATTTGGACTTTGCACCAATTGGGTGACTTTCCGAGTCCTGCTTGTGCTGATGATGTGACTTTAATAGATTTTTGGAGAGGAGGGGCGGCCTGCCAGCCACAGAAGGGAAAGAGAAACTGCTCAGCCGGAAGACATGATGTAGGCCGTGGCACCTCTCCCTTCTCCAGACTAGGAGGGTGCACCAGTAGGAGAGCCCAGACCCTCCTGTTCCAGGCTGAACCCTCCCAAGCCGGTGCAGGGCTGTCATATAGACTTCCTCCTGACCAGAGACCTGCCTGCCCTGAAGCCCACGGCTCTAGGACTCGTGGGGGGCGAGAAACCCAGATTGTCGCGGGCCCACTTCTCCAGCTGGTGGATGCGATAAGAGATGGAAATGGGAGCCTTGGGGCGGGCTGGGCGGCAGGCCTGGGAGGGGCCGCGGCCCTCGGGCGCCCCCAGGCGGAGCAGGCGGGCAGCGCGCTCCGGCGCGTCGGTGCTGGCTGCAAGGAAGCGCAGGACCACAAGATTGAGGAAGGCACCGATGACCGTGAGCCCCAAGAGGATGTAGAGGAAGCTGAAGGCCACGTAGGGCGGCTTCCTCTGCAGCGCCTCATCGCTCTGTAGCGCCACGAAGTCGCCGAAGCCGATGGTAGTGAGGGTGATGAAGCAGTAGTAGTAAGCGTGGAAGAAGGTCCAGCCCTCGAAATGCGCAAACGTGGCGGCCCCCAGGGCCAGGGTGGCCGCGCACACGAGCAGTCCGGCCACTACCATGTTCTCGGTGGATACGCGCGGCCGCCGCAGGCCCAGGCAGCGCTTGGCCGCCAGCAGGAGGCGCCGCACCAGCGTGTTCAGCCGCTCGCCAAGGCTCTGGAAGGTGACCAGCGTCAGCGGGATGCCCAGGAGTGCATAGAACATGCAGAAGACCTTGCCCGAGTCCGTGCCCGGAGCGGCGTGGCCGTACCCTGTGCAGCAAGAGAGGAGGGGAGGCAGGTGAACGCCCAACTCCATCCATCAATAGTCTCCCCCCTTGCTACACCCCCAGCCATCCTGACAGGCCCCTCTCTCCATCCCCAGAGCCCTAGTTAAGTGCCCTTGAGTTGGTTCCACTAAGCTTCTGAAGTATGGCTGGAGAGTTTGACCCACCGACCTTGCGTTTCAAGTCGACCCTTGTAGTCCAGTGCTTATCCTACAGCCCCACACCAGGTCTCCTAGAGGGCATCTCAAAAATCTAGTTCTGACCAGGTCATTCCTTGGCTTTAAAACCTCTAGTGGTTATTCGAAATTGCCCCAACTCGCAAACAACTGGGGGAATGGATAACCAACCTGTGGTATAGCCATACATGGCATTTTTTCCCAGCAATATAAAAGAAAGCATTACTGTTATCCCAGCACAAAGCATAAGCAGTCTCAGTGCATTGTGGAGTGTGACAGAAACCACACTCAAAAGGCTACATTACTTACTGCATGGCTCCGTTTAGATGGCATTCTGGAAATGGCAAAAGCATAGAGACAAAAAAGAGCTCTGGTAGTGTAGAGGTTACGAATCGGGCTGCAAACCGAAAGGTCAGCAGTTCGAAACTACCAGCTGCTCTGCGGGAGAACGATGAGGTTTTCTGCTCCTGTAAAGATATATGTGGTTGCCAGTCATTGGGGTTGGCCCTACAGAGGGGCATGACAGAATCTGAGGGAGTGATGGAAACGTTCTGTCTGATTGGAGGAGATGATTCACAGAAGTTAAAAACCTGCCTATGTGAATCCTGAAATTGAGTGAATCTAAATATTCTGTAAATTATGCCTGGGATCCCTGAGTGGCGCAAATGGTTGATACACTTGCTAACTGAAAGGTTAGAGGTTCGAATCCACCCAGAGGCACCTCAGAAGCAAGCCTGGCAGTCTACGTTCACAAAATCAACCATTGGAAACCCTATGGAGCACAGTTCTACTCTGACACATATGAGGTCGTCATGAATCAACTTGAGACCTTTCTCCCTTACTGCTTCTCAGTGCCTCTCTTCTATCCATGCAGAGCACAAGCTCTGGGGTCCCAGTACCTGGCTCTGTATAAGACTGGTATAGCCAGCTGGAACCACAGAGTAAGAGCTAGCACCCCCAGGTGGCCAGAAAAGACACAACTCTTCCTGCTTCCCCTCTGTTCCTTTTCCAAGGCTCCCAGATTGCAGTTCAGCTGAGAAGTCTCCAAAGAATGCAGAGAAGACAGAAGGAGTGGGTGGGGTCTCATACCAGTGGATGCAGTAACAGGGATGGTCTCAGGCTTGAAGGAGCAAAGGTGTCCTGCTGAACCAAGATAGGGAAGCAGGGGTGCTCCCCGAGGAAGAGACAAAGGGTTGCATGGGAGCTAGACCCATAGTTGGCAAATAGTGAATTATCATCATTTTTTAGTTAATAATTATAATCCTATTCAGTCTCCGAACTCCTGATGTGTCAGCACTGTACTGTGAACCACAAGGTCAGCAGTTCAAACCCACCAGCTGCTCCTCGGAAACCCTATACAGGGTCGCTATGAGTTGGAACTGACTCGATGGCACTTAACAACAATTCAATCTTAGGCACTGTGCCAAACATTTTACATGTGTGACCTCATGTAAACGTGGTAACCAGCAGTAAGGTGGTTGTTGTTGTTAAGTGCCGTCGAGTTGATTCTGACCCATAGCGACCCTGTATAGGGTTTCCAAGGAGCAGCTGGTGAACTTGAACCACCGACTTTGCAGTTCAAATGACTTTGCAGTCTGACACCTTAGCACACAGCACCACACCAGGATGCCACCACTAGGAAGGAACAATGAATTTTAAAGTTAAGGGAACCACAGATCTAAGTGGCCTGAGAAGACAGGAAGTGGCAGAAGTGAGAACAGAAGCTATTAGCTTCACCACTAAGCCCACAGTTCACCTTCACTGCAAAAACTTTCCTTCAGGCACAGGCTCTGAAGGGGATTGGGGAGACTTTCCTAGCCCAATGGTGGATCTGGACATTTGCAGTGGGGCTGGAGGAGTGCCTAGCACCCCACTTGGTGTCCTGCAGAGCCTGCTTGTCCTCCTTCCTGCTTCCTGGGCTTAGGCTCCGCAGGTACCAGCCAGAGAGTAGTCATGGCAACGGCTGGCTGCCCAGATACTGCAGAGAAACTGCTCTGGATCCCGGAGGGTGAGGTTCAAAGCTTGTGATAATCAGTCAGTCTTCCAACAAATATTTATTGAACGTCTGCTGTGTGTTAGGCATTGGCACTACAGCCGTGACTAAGATGGACTGTTCTCATGAGGTAACAATAATAATAATTATTATTGCAACACAAAAATCAATCCTTATTTGGACTGCAATCTATAAGTCAGGCTTGTGCTAAACCTTTGGCATCTATCATGTTCTTGGTTCTTACCACCACCCTGGGGTAGTGCCTACTTTTTAAAAAAACAACCCACTGCCATCAGGCCGATTTGTAACTCATAACAACCTTATAGGACTCTCCTTAGGGTTTCCCAGACTGTAAATCTTTACCAGCGCAGTCTCATCTTTCTCCCTAAGAGTAGCTCGTGAATTTGAACTGCTAACCTTTCAGTTAGCAGCTCAACGCTTAACCCACTGCATCACCAATGCTCCTTCGCAAGTATTAGACGAGGCTTTCAGCTCCCGTAAAGATTTATAGCCTCCGAAACCCAATACAGGGTCGCTATGAGTAGGAACCGACTCCACAGCACACAACCACCACCACCACTGAGGCTCAGAGAAGTTGGACAACTTGTGTAAGATCACACAGCCATTTGGGTTTTCAGTCCCATTTCGACTGTCTCCCAGGCCCTGGGGGTGTTTTCTTAGCCGCTGCTGAGTGGCCGCCTCTTGGCAAGCATGAGTGACTGCCTTCGGAGGAATGACATGCCCAGTCGACAGAGGGAGGCAAACAAGGTTCAGTGAGCTGAAATGACTTGTCCAAGGTCACTGTCACTCAGCTGGAGAGGGGCAGAGATGGGATTCACACCCAGAGGCTCCTGGGCCGGCTCGGGACGGAGCGAGCGCAGCGGGAAGGCGCATGGGGCCGCTCACCGATGGTCGTTATGACCGTGATGGCGAAGTAGAAGGAGCCGGCGAACTTCCACTGGCGACCGGCTCGGTGCGGCTCGGCCTGTAGCGCCAGGCGCTCCAGCTCGCGGTAGTCCTCTGCTGAGAAGCCGTACTTCCTCCGGAATTCGCTCCGCTTCTGGTCCAGCAACCGCTTGCGACTGCTTTCTGCTTCGGACTCAAGCGCGTCGAAGACGGCGGCGCCCACCAGCAGGTACGACAGGATGCACAGGATGAGCGCGGCGGTGCGCGCACTTTGCTTCCTCATGGCGGCGCTCTGAGCCACGCTCTCTGGCTGGTGGCCGCGGGGGTCGCCCGGGCGCCAACCCTGTCCATGCGTCCCGACGGGTGGTGGGTACCGTGAGTCGCCCGCGCTCGCACGCTCCGCCCTCCGGCATCCGGACCCCGCGGAGGAGGATGAGGGCTGCTAAGACTCAGGCGGCGCGGTGTCGGTGTCGGCGCGGTGTCTGGGGGCCCAGAGGCGGGGCCTCGGCGGGGACTAACTCAAGGGTGGCTGGAAGACTGCGGAGGGGGCCCCCAGAGGCTGGCTGCTCCCCTGCCGGACCCACCTCCCTCCACATCTGCTTTGTTTACCCTGTGGCGCCTTCGGGATAACATGTCTGCAAACAGTGACATCTGGAACACAATGCCCAAAGTTCAGGTCTGAAGTTCTTTCTCTTCTACTAGCTCGCCGTGTGACTTTGGGTAATTCATTCCTTCATTCATTTGGTCCATCGGTCAGCCAGTCAGTTAGTCGGTCAGTCATCTAACAAATATTTGCCAAGCAGTGTCGGGCTGAGAGGTTCCTGGCATAAATATGTTAATATGCTAGTATAGGGGGTTGGCCAATGACTCCTGAGCAAACAAAACATCAGGTAATGTAAGGCGATGTGATGAAGAAGGAGAACAAATTCTGTGGGGAAAGGGTTTGTTGTTGTTAAGTGTCGTTGAGTCAGTTCTGACCCAAAGCGATCCTGCATAGGGTTTCCCTGGAGCAGCTGGTGAGCTTGGACCGCCGACCTTTCAATTCAAACCGACTTTGCAGTACAGCACATTAATCCACAGAGCCACACAGGAGAGGGGAGGGGTTGTTGTTGTTATGTGTCATGGAGTCGATTCCGACTCATAACGACCCTGTACAGGATTTCCGAGGCTGTAAATCTTTATGGGAGCAGAAAGCCTCATTTTTCTCCGGTGGAACAGCTGGTAGTTTCGAACTGCTGTTCCTGAGGTTCGCAGCGGGATTCGTAACCACTACGCTACCAGAGCTCCTTTGGAGAGGGGAAGTGAGATACTGCTAATTAATGTGACCAGGAAGCCTCCCTAAGGAGACACTCCTTTGAGCAGAAAAGAACTTGATTGGCAACCAGGAGCAGCAAGGAAGACCATGGCTGGGGCCTGGAGAATTGGGGGAGAGGGTGGTGGGGGGCCCAGAGTGAGGCAAGGTGGACCATATATAGGGTCTTATACCCAGAGGTTTTATTCTTCAGTGAAATTGCAAGGGGGGTAGGTGTGGGGAACTCAAACAAAAACCCAAAACACAGATTCATTTTTCACAAACAGAATTTGGGCTGTCATGTGGAAAACAGATGTGGTCTGGGGTAGAGGCGGGAAGCTAGTTCAGAAACTCTTCTGCTCTGAGTCCATTCTGAGGCTGGCCTGGCAGCGGGCATGGTGTTGGAGATGGAGAGACGTGAAGCTGGGCACTCGGCTGGACCACGTTTTCTGCCCTCCCTTGCTAATAGGATGTCCATGGAATGTGGGCAGAAGTGATGTGTGACCCTTCCAGGCCTGGTCCATGAAACCTCCCACACACTCTCCTCCAGGTTGAATGTAGGTACAGACCTAAAAAAGAGGGCAAAGCCACAAGGTGGAAGGCACCTGGGGACCTGAATGACCCATGCAAGGCCACCCCTGTGGGACTTCTGTTGTTTTAGGCTACTAAAAGATCTGGGGGATCATATTGTTGTGGTTAGGTGCCATTGAGTTGATTCTGACTCATGGAGTCAGCTAGCTGGTAGATTTGAACTTCCAACCTTATCGTTAGCAGCCCAGTGCTGATCCTACAGTGCCACACCAGGACTCCTTATAGCAGCTGTTGTTAGGTGCCGTCAAGTCGGTTCTGACTCAGCGAACTGATCACAACAGAACAAAACACTGCCTGGTCCCGCAGCATCCTCACAATCTTTGTTAAGCTTGAGCCCATTGCTGCTGCTACTGTACCAATCCGTCTCGTTGGGGGTCTTCCTCTTTTTCACTGACCTAGCATAATGTCCTTCTCCAGGACTGGTCTTTCCTGATAATATGTCTGAAGTATGAGAGATGAAGACTCACCATCCTGGCTTCTAAGGAGCAGCTAGTTTTACCTGGATTTGGTGATGGATTGGCTGTGAGGGTCAAGGAGATGGCTCAAGGATGACTCCTGGGTCTCGGGCCTAAGTAGCTTGGGGATGTCTTCCATGGGCCACACTCCCAGAGGAATCCATTTCTGCCCCCAGCACTGCAGAGGTGATGCTCTTTTCAGAGTCCTGGGTGAGCCGCCATGGAGGCTGGGCAGAGTAATGGGTAGTCTCTCTGGGGTCATCCTTCCTCCTGGAGTCCCCAGCCTTGCATCATCTGTCCCCTAGCGATTGTTCAAGCCTTCTCCCCACAGCCCCTTTTCTTTTTTTTTTTTTATTCCTCCAGGCAAACAAAACCTTCAGTTCCTAATACAGACTTGCTTTGCTGAACACTTCCATCCCACTCAATACCACTACCAGTTGATGTCAAATTGATTCCGGCTCCTGGCAACCCCGTGCGTGTCACAGGAGAACTGTGCTGGACAGAGTTTTCAATGGCTGATTTTTGGGAGCCAGGTCTTTCTTCTGAGGTGTCTCTGCGTGGACTCAACCTCCAGCCATTCAGTTAGCAGCCCAGCGCTAACTACTACCCGAGTACTCCTCCTATTCGATAGGCAACGCTGTGGGGACTCTAGGAGTTTCTGAGCAAATGCAAAGGGTTAAGTGCTTGATTATCAGCTGAAAGGTTGGTGGTTTGAACCCACCCAAAGGTAAGTTTTGTTGTTTTTTAAAACTTTTTATTATGCACTGGTTGAAAGTTTACAGAGCGGTCATCATTTTTTTTTTTAATATTTTATTGTGAATTATGTGATAGTTTACATGGGAGAACATTAGTTTTACATTCATCCAATCATATATTGTTTCATTGCCATGGTTATAATCCCCTCCATGTATCATCACCCAACCAAAGGGTATACCCTGCAAGCCTGACCCCTGGTCGTCAGTACACGGCCCCTCTCCCTCTCTGGGTCTAAAGTCCCCAGCTGTTCCATCTCTCCACGTCATTGTCTCTGCCTCCATCTCTGGTGTCACTGCTCCTCTGGGTAGGATTCCGCTCTCCACTGTTCTCCCTTGGTGGTCCCAGGGACCTCCACTCCTAGACTGCATATTAATCACTCCCCTCCTTGGTACAAAATGCCTACCTTTACATGTCCAACCCTCACAATCAGTCCTGATAACAATTATTCACTAATGTATCACAAGAAACCTATCTGCATTTCCTTTCACCTGCCCTGCCTAGACAGATTGGACACTACTCACTGGAGATTCTACCTTCCTCCATGCCTTCTGGATCTAGGTTCCCTCTTGAAAGTTTGTAAGCCAGTCACTTCTTGCCTTTGTAGCCCCCCCATTTTGGGTAGCCAATGTCCAAGTTGCCCATCCCTGTCTACTCTGTGTTTGGAGGGGGTGGGAATGATCCTCGCTGTAAAGATTTGTTCCCTCTTTTGAGCTACTGCATCCATAGGTGTAGGTCAAGTTCATCCAGTTGTATCAGATTACTCTTTTTTTCCTCTTCTTTCTTGTTCTAGTTGAGCTCTGATGATCCAGTCATTGAAGCCAGGTCAAGTGGGTATTATCTGCAAGTGTGGGTATTCTTGTGCATATGCCCTCTCTTCTTATGAGCTGGACGCTTCACTCTCCACTCTAGTCCTTTGTGGCTATGTCACTGACTCTGGGCTCAAGAGTCCCCAGGTCTTGCCACACTAGTGGCCAACCAGGTCTCCACCCGGGTTCACAGAAGTCTATTGAACATTGTAGGGCTTAGCTCCCAGCTTCATTGCTGTTATTCCCTCACTTCCTCTTATCGGTGATGAACGTGGTCACCAATCAGTGCGTGTATTCCCATTGAATCTTAGTCTTGGAAGGGGGTTTGCACTGAGGGGACCTGACCACTTGCCTTGATGTCTCCTGGGCGAGCCACAGGTAAGTTTGAATTGCCTTTTGTTTTAGGCTAGTTGCACTTGTTGTTAAGGGCTGCTGAGTCTGTTCTGACTCATAGCGACCCTGAGAGTAGCTGGTGAGTTTAAATGACTGGTCTTGCAGTTAGCAGTCCAGTGTTTATCCTACAGCACCACACCAGGTTAGTAGTCAATTGCTAACCACTTGCATCACCCAGGGACCATTACAAGGGTCCTTGCAATAAAAGAGGGGGACAGAAGATGGAGGGAAGGGGCATTGAGCCAGGGAAAGCTAACTGGAAAAGGCAAGGAAATGAATTCTCCCTGGAGCCTCCAGTACTGCACACAGTCCTGCCAACACCTTAGTTTTAGCACCAAGAAATCTGTGTCAGACTTTTCTCCTACAGAACTGGAAGATGATGAATGTGGTTTTTTTTAATCCATTAAATTCAGAAGTTTGTAATAATTTCTTGCAGCAGCAATGTGAAACTGATATGAGGGTTGTGAGGATGGAATTTGTCAAGAGATCAATGCCTGAGAGCAACACCTGCCCTCCTGACTTGGTCTTGAAGCGTTGGCCACTACTGCAAATGTCATAACAAGTCAGTGCCCAGGCCTGTAGGGACCTGCCCCAACTCAGTTCCCAGGTGAAACCAGGGCCAGGAGTTGGGCCTCTCCTCCCCCCAAGAGAGCCGGAGGCAGCTCAGTGGCCCAGAAGTAGGACCCAGGGGCCAGGGAGCATGCTCCGCTGCCTTCACCTTATTTTTAGGAACTGCTAAAATCAGCAAGCTTGATTTTCTGATTCCTGCTCAAATTCGGGGATAAAGTCTCAGAGTGGGGACCGGGGAGGGGTGGGAAGGAGATACATTCTCAGGGGAAGGGCAGGGCCCCATTCAGGGGACCCATTAATGAGGTCTTGGCTTTGAACACAGCTGCCAAGCATGGTGGCTTTGAAGTCAGCAAGACTTGGGTTCAAATCCCTACTACTTCACTTTCTAGCTGGGTGGCCTGCAACAGAATACTTCTACTTC